TCTATCTATCTATCTATCTATCTATCTATCTATCTATCTATCTATCTATCCATTTCAGACATGTTTAATTTAAGATGTTTACTGATATCAATCCAAAAGGATATTGACAATAACTTAGGAGAAGAATTAGGGCTATATTTGCATAGAAATGATAATAAACCTGTAGGAACTGATGAGTTCTCCAAGAGAGTATGTAAGGAAATAAGAGAAGAGCACCTAGGAGAAAGCCTTAAAGAATACTTTAGATTACATTAGCTTGTAAGCTCCTTGAAGTCAGGAACTATCTTTTTGTCCCTTTTTTTTATCCCTAGAACTTAACACAGTGCTTGGCTTATAGTAGCCACTCAATAAACGTTTATTGATTGATTGAACATACAGACTCAAGGGGTGAAAAAGTGAGGAAGTGACCAGATCTTCCTCTTAATGCTCCTAAGAGAAAAAAAAAGAGGTACTGCTGAATGGTGTTAAAAGGAGTGAAAAGAGAAGAAACTGTTAGGGACTAGGACATTAAAACACTCGATGATACGCTCTTGTAAGGAAAGAGTCACCCAAAGCCAGGCTGGCATGGCCAGGCTTTATTAAGGGATTTGCTTACAGGAAGGAGGCTCTGTGATAGCACCTTGTGGACAAACAGCAAGCAGCAGGATATCTGTAAATTCAGAGGTTTAGTCCTTAAGCTATTCATATATTTTTAGTGAGATTGTTTAAGGGAGGAGTGGACTGAAACATATTATATGTGACCAAAATGGCAGGATGTGTGAATATTCAACTAAGATAGAGTTGGTTACTAGCCTGCCACAAATCATTGTTGACCTAAATAGAATATTTATGGGTTTCTTGCTCCTAATTGTAACCATGATCCATTTAACTCATGATGTTCATAACTGCAAAGATAATCCATTTTACCCACACAGGGATACAAACAAACTTTGCTTCCTTGACAATTTTTTCAAGGTATGGTCTTAATCAAGATGGTTTAGGTGACTGTTCTGTTGTCTAATTAAAATTAATTTCAAGGGACCATTCTAATTTTTTGTGGCAATAGAATATTTTTGGTTGAATATTTCTTAAAAAAAGGCAGCTCTCAACTCAATTCTAGAAATCTTTTCATTATGTTGAAATGCCCTCATAATAAGATTCGTTGAATTGGGACACCCCCTTTGCTCTGTATTGCCCAGACTAGGGTAACTGACTGTTTAACTTGAGTTTGCTAATGGAAGGAGTTGTTGGAGACATTTCAAAATCATTTCAAAACTGTTATGAAATTAACAAATATTTGTTTTGTGGCCTTTATCTAATGGTTGTATGGGGAATGGGCAATATCATAAAAATCTTAATACCCAAAGTGCCTGATTTTTTGCCTCAAAATAATAGTTGAAATGTGCAGTGTTTCATATAAAATCAGACTCATTCATTTAATGACAAAAATATATAGAGAAGCCCTGGGAATTTTAAGCAAGAATAAGCAAGAAGTTCAATGTTTGAAGTGGTTCTTCATATGCACATGTGAGCAATTTTTCACATTTGAATGGAGAACATTAAAGGTTGGAGTATGGAGTAAACAAAAAAATAGAGGGAAAGATCTTTGAGATAAGAAGACTTACTTTTTTCCAACTATGAATTTTATATTAATGAGATATTTTTGAGTATCTGAGGTGTGGAATCAAAGAGAATGTTTGTTTGCCTTTGATTTTAAAGTATTTTGATTCTCCTTGTCATTATACTCTGAATTTAGACATCAAGGATTATGAAATTAGTCATGCTATTGGATGGAACGAAAAGCAAAACAATTAAGAAAATAATAGGCATATATTTTATAGGTTTACCTAAACTTAAAGATTTTAGTATGTACTTATAGGGGCTCAGTATTTTATTGTATAGATGTTCAACAGAAAAAAAAAATATACAACCAGAAAGACCTGAGTTTAAGTCTCAGTTTTATGTGATTCTGGGAAAATCACTGAACTTCTTAGTATTCTAGGCAACTCTCTAAGAATATAAGTTTCAGGGAGAGTTCTAACCCACATAGATAGAGGTAATTTCCTCAATTGAGAGTTCTCTGTGCCAGTGTTTTCTCAGGTTCAGTATCTGTTCTAATTAGACAGAAAAGAATGATTTGTAGAAACTTTTAAGGTTACATATATATATCCACTAATTCAACAATACTACTAGGGTAGGGAAGAGGGAAAGGACTCATACATACAAAATATTCATATCAACACTTTTTTGTGGTAGCAAAGAACTGGAATGAAGATGATATTTGTAAGTTGGTGAATGCTTGAACAAACCATGGTATACAATTGGAATGGAACATTACTTTTTGCCACAAGATAAGAAAAAGATTCAGAAAAATGTGGAAAGACATATGATCAAATGCAGAGTGAAGTGAACAAAACCCAGAAAACAATTTATGCAGTAACTACAGCTTTATCAACAGCAAGTTTGAAAGACTTAAAAACTGTGATCCATAAAATGACTAACCATGGCTTCAGTAGACTCATGAGGAAGCATCTTTCCCACCTCTTCATGAAGAACTGATAGAATTGGGGTATAGAATCAAGCATGACATTGTAGACATTGCCTAGGGGTGGCTGTGTTTTCCTTGCCCGTACTTCTTTTTGTTATTGTTGTTATTGTTCATCCTTTATTTTTGAAGAGGACCAATGTCATCATAAGGTGATGTCTTGATTCGCACATGAATTAGATTAAAGTGAAGCAGAGTTACATGAAGTTGTCAGCCTAACTCTCTTCCAGAGTCATGAGTCCAGTAGCAAGACAAAAGTCAAGATGACTGGTGATGGTCCGGGATGCAGTGGATGACCTTGGCATCTTTGATAGCTGACCTAACTTTAAGCATTCCACACCTCCTGCTTCAGCTGCCTTCATGAACAAATTATTCTCATCCATTCATTCTACCAAGGGGAAATTTTCACATGCTTGGGGTAGACATCTCCCTAACTCACTGATGAGTTTAAAGCACCTTGGTTACTCTCAACCTAGTTTAGCCCATCTGCCAAAGTGGTTTTACCTGGAGTGTGGCCACTGTACATGCTACAGCTTTTTGGAGCCACAGGTAGAATTTGTTTTTGTTTTTGAGGCAGGAAAGGTGAACGTGCTGGAAGAAAAAAACTGGCAAAAAAGGAAAAAAATATTAGCAATGGAACTTTCTAATGCACAGAAAAGAAGAGAAGGGAGAGCAGACAAGAGAAATCGACAAATCAGTCCATCTTTGAAATGTGTTGAATGTACAGTTAATTTTTTCAAATTCTATACATAATATTTTAAATTTTATACATATATGGAAATGTTCAGGTTTGTCATGTTTAGCGTAACAAAAAAACCCTAAAACTAAAATCCTGAAAAAATTGTTTTAAAAGATTATAACTGTGGTATATATTAAACCTCTGTTTCTGCCCTCCATTCTCTGCTCCCACCCCTATTCCCACCAAGTAAGTGCTACTTAATGAGACATTTTTTTTTTTACTGTGTCTTATTAGAAATCCTGTATTGGTGTTCCAGTGTATCCACCGCCATGTCATTTGCCTAGACTGTTTCCATTTATACAGTGTGACAAGGTTGAATGATCGACAGTTCATTTATGATCCAGTGCTCGGTTATTCCCTTCCTTGTGTGGGTAAGTCTATCGCTTAAATTTTTTAACCAACTTGAAAAAAAAGAGTTATTGACTTAAAATTGAGTATAGCTTAAGCAAACCTAAGGAATATTAACCTCTCTTAATGACTTGATGACCAAAATTTACATTTATATTTATGTATATGTACATATAAGTATGTACATAAACATTTATTCTCTTCATATTTATGTGTGTACCTCTATGGATTATTACCTATCTCTCTGGATTTATTGCAAGGGTATCATGATATCATTTCTGAAATCAACCAATGAGTATTTTTTTAGAGCAAAATACATGCATAAGACTTATAAACACTATAGAACCATAAATGGAGTATAAAATATGATCTCTGCCTATGAAGAACTTAGAGTCATATTGTAGAAAGAGTTTTAACATTGGTGTGGTACTAAATGATGTGGTATAGACTATAAATTTAGTAGGATTTTGGAGGCAGTGCTGATCAGTGTAAACTGAGTTTATGAAGAAAGGATTTATAGAGCAACTAGTGTGAGCTAATTCTAAAAAGGCATTCAGATCCCTTGGATTATTTTGATCCTTCTTTAGATCTACTGCCTTTGATGGCATTCAAGGCAGATTTGGAACAAATCAAATGTATCCCATATATGTTGATCTTCCTATTGGAATGTGAACTCCTTGAGAGCAGGAAATGTGTGAATTTTCTGTTGCTTTCCCCAGAGATTTGCACATAGTAAGCATGGTCCTCAGCATGGTGGGTGAACCCCCTGTACCAAACTAATAGGAAGACATATACAAGAGTCATATAGGATGGGAAGTCATGGATATGTTGAGACCTATATTGTTGAAAGGAATACCCACAGTGATACGATCACAGATTCATTTGAGTACTTTAGTCCTTGAATAATCATTCTAAAATGTCATCTTGGCTCTAAAAAGTATTTATGTAACAAGCAAATATGTACATTTTTTTTCAGATAAACATTTTGTTTTCCAAGTTGTTAAGATTTTAGCAACATACTAACTTCAACTCTTCTTTAAAAAACCTACCTCTTGACCTACATATCTCTGAAACAAATTATTTATTAACTATGTGCCCTTATCTTCAAGTGCTAATAGGAAATTTAACAAAGACATCTGTTAGAAATTATTTTTATCAGTTGCCACTGCAGTTTTGAAAGACAAATCTCTAAAGAAATGTCAAGTCTCAAATCTTCTGAGTTGTTTTCTTGACAGGGAACACAGTAAATAGATGTACATTATTTTTAGAGTTTAAGTCAAAATTCCTTATTACATTTCATCAATTATGGCTGCCATAATCCTATCTGTCCTTGATAACTATGGTCAGAAGGTCATGGGCACACCTGCCTTCAAAGAACAGAGACAAATATGAATTTGGGAGGCCTCTCTGGAACTTGTGTCATGATTAAATAGCATTCCCTGAAGACTAGACCCAACAGCAGTCCCTACATACCATGCATGTCCTCTGAAACTAGCTTTTGTCTGCATTCCATTGAACCCTTTGCCTCTCAGGTACAGAGGGAGAAAGTTCAGCTGTTCCAAGCCTTTCACTGCTCAATGGGTCCTTAATCCCACTGCCATGGAGAAGCTTAAAATCTGTGACATCACCGCTTCCTGTCATTAGAAGCTATAGTTTGTGTTATTGTAATCCTGTTAGAACAAAACACACCTTTACTGACCCCTGACTACAGCAACTTGATATCGTTTCTATGTTTTACAAGATATAAATGTTTTATACCAGTTCACTGTTTTATAAATTTAAAATATCTGTCTAGGAGGAGTCAACTTGTTCTCCTTAGCTAGAATAAAACCCAAGTGGCTACCTATCGTTGGTATTAGGAAGTTAAGGACATAGTTTCTCCTTTTTAAGAAGCAATAAATCCACCTATCTACCAACTAGTTTTAAATTTCTTTCTCCAATTTTACAGGTACCTGTCATGATAACTGATAATTTCCACTTTATGCTATTTTAAAAGAAAAGTCATTTTGATGTGTGAGAGTGTGTGTGTTTGTGTGTGTGTATCTGTGTATGGGTAAGCATGAAGCTTTTTTCTAATCCACTGAGGGACAGTGTTCAAACAGATTATCAGCACAGGGTCACAAATTCAGTCTGAAAACTGGAAGAAGTTACTGAAAGACGCATACTTTATGTATGTACCATAGCTTGATAACATGTGTGTTTGTTAGTGCTTACTGACTCATTTCTGTTAAGAAAAAGGGGAGTTACCATGGAAAATCTATACTTTGGATTTAGTTGAAGAGTGTATATTTTTATATAATGCTCAGTGGCTTTTCATTATACTGGAACCAGAATAAATCAGCCTGGAAGGATGCCATGAGCATTACTTTAAAAAAAAAACCAAAAAATTATTAAGTAAGTTTTTGTGGTGCATAATGTATTGAAATAATTGTACTGAAAATAGTACTGATACTCACTTTTTGCTGTAGCTATTTTGAGCTAACTGCCATACAAGCTCTTCCCTGGGGCCTATTAGGGCATGGAAGTGACCCTGTCCTATGTTTCAAAGGCTCTGCCAAAGGAATCCAAGCTTTAGTAAGTCCTACCAATGTGAAAAGGCTTTGTTTCCATCTCACATAGACCACATGTCTATAGTCCAAGAACCAGATAAATTTGGAGAAGGTCATCCCTAGCAGTTTGGCCACAAAGTAACATGTGTATATGTATATATGTATACATATAGATATAGATATAGATATAGATATAGATATAGATATAGATAGATATAGATATATGGATATTTGTATATTCCTGCTAGTACATATACATGTGTAGAGAGACAGAAATACATAAACATACAGATATAAGCATATATACATATACATATACGTATACCTATATGTATGTATGTATGTATTCATACACCATTAGCCACACCTTCTGATTAGCCATATGTCATGAGGCTAGGGTGAAGAAGGAGGGCTCCAGTCTGTAATCATGGAGTTCCCACACAGAAGAAATCAGACCTTTTGAAATATTGCAGGAGTCTGTAGCTAAAGGAAGATCTCCTATACATACTCTGGCAATCCTTTTTTCAAACATTATGACTCTTTGCACAGTATTAACTTCTACCTGCAGCAGAAAAACCATTGAAGCCACAAAATCTCATAAAAATTTAGATGTCAAGTGAATAAAAATGTGATTAACTAAGTGTTCTAGTATTTTTCTACTCTTTCTTTCTCTGAGTCCTTCAAATATTAACTCTGTCTTGTATTAGCAGATGATTTCCCAAATCATATTGATTCTACCACCCTTTTTGGTGACAAACAAAATCTTGTTTAAGCCATTGATAAATGTTATGATGATGATTCATATGTATGCTACTAAACAACATTCATGTGAATGCATACTTTTTTTTGGGAAAATGTCATGTGCTTTCCTTATATCTAAGAGATATAGAAATCCATTTTATTTTAAAATAAGAGTTGTTTTGAATTTATGAAGAATAAGCATAGTGTTGTGATTTGTATTATTTATAAAAAACAGTCAACATTTGGAGAAGTGGTTGTAGAGATAGCTTCTGAGTCAGGAACACCTGAGTTCAAATTTTACCTCTGATACATATGAGCTCTCTAATTCTGAATAATTCACTTCATCTCTTGGTAACCCAGAAAATTCTCTGAGACTAACATTGCAAAGGAGGAGGAGGGAGTTCTCACAGAAATCAATCATGGCAAAATAAGTAAATAAATGAATAAAATTAAAAGCAAAATATGACAAGGCTTCACTGCATTCTAGATATTTCTGCTGCATCACTCTTTTTTTTAATAATATCTTTCCCCTAAGTACATGTCAAGACAATTTTTAGCATTCATTTTTATAAGAGTTTGAGTTTCAAATTTTTCTCCTTTCCCTCTTCCTAAAGTGGTAGGCAATTTGATATAGGTTATACATGTGCTATCATGTAAAACATTTCCATATTAGTCACAGTTGTGAAAGAAGAAACATCAAGAGGAAAAAAAACAAAAAAGAATAAAGTAAGTGAAAAAAGTATTCTTTGATCTGTATTCAGAGTCCATCAGTTCTTTATCTGAATGTGGATAGTATTTTCCTTCATGATTCCTTTGTCCTTGTCTTGGATCATTGTGTTGCTGAGAAAAGCTGAGTCACTCACAGTTGATCATCACACAATGTTGCCGATACTGTGAACAACGTTTTCCTGGTTCTGCTCATTTCATTCTGCATCAGTTCATGCAAGTTTTTCCAGGTTCTTCTAAAATCTGCCTGTTTATCATTTCTTATTGCACAATAAAAATATTTCATTACATTTCATATTTCAAAATATTTCATTACATTCATATACCACAGCTTGTTCAGTCATTCTTTAATTGATGAGCATCCCCTCAATTTCCAATATATAGCCAAAACAAAAATGGATGTTATGAATATTTTTGCACATGTATGTCCTTTTCCCTTCTTTATGATCTGTTTGACATACAGACATAGTAGTGGTATTGCAGGATGAAAGAGTATGCATAGTTTTAATTAGGTCTCTTGTTGCTTTTGCTTTGTCTGAGATCAGAATTGCCAGCCCTGCTTTTTTTTACTTCAGCTGAATAGATTCTTCTCCAGCCCCTTACCTTTACTCTGTGTGTGTCTCTCTGCTTCAGGTGTGTTTCTTGTAAACATCATATTGTAGAATTCTGGTTTTTGGTCCATTTCGCTATCTTCTTTCATTTTATGGGAGAGTTCATTCCATTCACATTCACAGTTATGATTACTGAGTGTGTATTTCCCTCCATCCTATTTTTCCTCATTTGTCCTCTCTCTCCTTTCACCCTTTCCTTCCTCAACAGTGTTTTGCTTCTGCCTACAGCCTCCCCTGGTCTGCCATCTCTTCTCTCAGAACCCCCTTCCCATTTGCTTAATCTCCTCCCCTCTTACTTTCCTGTCAGGTAAGACAGATTTCTATATTCAACTGATTGTGTATAGTATTTCCTCTTCAAGCCAATACTAATGAGAGTGAGGTTCAAGTGATTCCTAT